TCCCTTGAACAGGTATATTCACCCTAAAGCTCTGCAGCACGCTGAATCTCTTCTCAAGCCCACAGGTAGGCAGACGGAAGCATCTTTGGGATGCTTGGGAAGAGACCATGGGTTACATCTCCATGTGATCTTCCTCCCTTCTTTCCATCCACCTTCTTTCTCGCATTTCAGAAGCCAAGAAGCATGCTTCTCCCTCTCCCATTTTTCTCTCTCCTTTTGACATGTACTTGGAAAACCTAATTTGAATAAGATAGAGCCCCTGCCCTCAAAGGGTGAAGCCCACATCCTGTAACCCAGACAGGCACAGAGTGCTCTCCTCCAGAAACTGGGTAGCAGGGAGCAAGGGAGTTAAATTAATTTAGAGCGATGGGGGGTCAAGAGCACACACTGCATCTGGACTCCACAAGAGACTGAATAACGCAATGAACAGGATCTTACAGTCAAGTCTGGCACATGGAAGTGCTGTGTCATTGCTAGCTGTTGTGCTACTGTGAATGAGAACACCCTGGGAACAGGCTGCAATGAAATGGGTTTCTGCAGATAGGAGACATCGGGTGGAGCGCTGGGGGACAGAGATTGGAGTTCAGCAAAGTCCCACTGAAAGCGCTGCTGGCCCATCAGATGGACACCACAGGTATGATCACACAGAGGGAAAGAATCATTCACAAGAACCCCAACTGGGCAGACTTTCCATGTCCACTTACCAAGGGGTCTAGGATTGAACAACCAAGAAGTGGTTGGTAAAGCTCTCATGTGATGTGTGAGGTAAAGTTTAACAGGAAGGAGGGATTTCAGACAGCTGACACAAGAAGGCTCTAGCTAGAAAGAGGCCCTGAAAACTCTAGGCTGAACATACCCATTCAAGAGACTGTCAGCCTGTTTGTCTTACTGCTGGAAGCATGGAGAGGGTAGCCAAGTTCCCCAAAATCCCGATCTACCCTGGTGAGATTCTGGATCAACTAGTGATGCTGAGAAAGCAGAGGCTGTTTGCTCAGGATCTGAGCTAGCTGAGGTCCAAAGTCCCCTCTACCTGTCCTCATGATGGCCAGGAATAAAGGAGAGAAGATGGCAGAATAAAGGGGGGCAGAAGTAGGAAGGAAGGTGATTGAATGAGTCCCAAGTACACAGAGGGGGGAGTAAGAACAGCTAAAGCCACTTAGAAGAGCACAGCTGTGGGCCAGACACCAGCTTAGTGCTCTAACACACCTGAGTGGTTTGGGAAGTCATGTCACAGATTGAAGTACACAGGGCAAGTCAAGTGTACCTGGAGAGTCTTAGCTGTACCAATTGCGATCGTGACTACCTCAGGAAGAGAAATAACAAAGCCTCTACATCAGTGGCCTTGTGTGACACAGCTGAGCACAGAACCTGCCCAAAATGCTGGTGGGACTTTTTCCAGCTTGTCAATTCTCAGCTGAACCAGCTCACTCAGGGAGCAGGTGTATGAGGATAGACTAGTTCTGTCTATCCCCACTAGTACACCCAGAAGGAATTTTTTTAAGATTTATTTATGTATGCATACAAGAACTGGCTACAGGCCAGAGGTGCAGGGGGCAGGGGGAAGCAGGGAGGTGAGAGGATTCACCAGAGACAGAGTGGGGAGCAGAACAGATGGATCTACTGAAATACACTGCTCAGGAGAGCAGTGGGCAGGACAGGAGAGGTCTTCTAGGCCATGTGGGTCACCTCCCTGGCTGAGGATGTAACTTGTGCTACAGTGTCTGCAGTTAGCCTCATAGAGCTATGCTTAACCCTGTACGCCACCAGGGAGGCTCCTGTATGCATTTTTATACCTGCTTAGGGAAGTGTACTGTGTTCCACATTTGCACTGCCTGATCTCATGGGGGCTGGTGGCTGGGAGAAGGACCTGACATCCCTGGAGGAAGTGAGGAAGGAAAAGCAACCTGCGATGACAGGTGTCCACAGAATAGAAAATTCCAAGGGAGAAAGTGGAGAACTTATCTGCTTCCTACCTAGCAAAGAAGGGAATAAACACCTTTAGACCTGTGATGGTATTAACTAGAAGTATGGAGGAGCAGAAATGGAATCCTGCAGTTATACAGACATGGGAATAACAAATGAATGAATAAAAAAGGAAAGTATTGTCATAAAGAGATAAACATTTTAGAAAGGCCCCAGGCCACTGGAGTTCCTTCCCAACCACTCTCTGATCACTACCCCTTCATTAAAATGACATTTCCCTGGCTAATTGTACAACCAATAATACTAACCACCTGTGAGAAGTTTTACCAATGCTTTACACTCAACTATCTTTTTTTTTAGACAGTAATGTTCTGTTACAAACCACAGTAGCTTTCACTTACATAGTCTTAGACCATATTAAATGTGTCTGTGTACATTGCCCATTAAATTGTTAAGATCTTATCAGCCAACATGTATAATTAATAATGTATAATTAACAATAAATTTAAGAATATACATAATCCAATCAAGTTATTGTAAATGTACTTTTGAAAGAATTGGAAAGTGCTTCCATTTTACTCTTAAGTTGACTGTGACTCAAACCCAGCTGGTTTGTTTTTATTCTTTTTTCTAAGAGCTTTGTTGGGATGTGATTCACATACAATAAATTCACCACCTAGAGTGTACAACTCACTAATTTAACATTTTGAAAGAGTTGTGTAACCATCAGCACCATCAACTTTAAAACACTTCATTTACCCAAAAACAGAAACTCTGTGCTCTTTGGCATTCAGCCCCACTTCCCACCACACCCACGCTCCAGCCCTATGCCACCACACGGCTACACTTTTTTCTATGAATTTGCCTATTCTGAACATTCCATGTGTGAATCATATAATAGTCCTTTAGTTCTTTCACCTAACATAATGTTCTCAGTGTTCGTCCATGTTGTATCATCACCACACCCCTTTTTATTGCCAACTAATGTTCCACTGTATGCTTATACCATAGTTTGTTTCCCATGCTTTTTTTTAATCATTGCAATCTTATAACATTGTACCTTCACTTGTGCGGGTCCTGTAAAGCAATAGCTTTACAAAGAGGGTAAGCGTGGGAGGTGCATGGCACTTCGGTTCTGAACCCTAGTGCTCCCATTTACTACCACTGCACCGTCACAGCAAAGTGCAGCATTTACAAGACACCTAACAGACAGCACTAGATGACACACCTATGCCTCCTCTAACTGTGCAGGGGGACAATGAACAGCTATTGCAAGTAAGTGAAATTGACTTTCACTGATGAGACTGTTCAACCAATGCAGTCAAAATCATTAAATTAAAATCATTTAATTATTTTCCAGTCGACCTTTAAAAATTATTCAAAGCAGCAGAATTTTATTATCATTACCTATGAATATTAAGTCTGCAAACATTCCATGCTTTGTAATGCTTTTCTATCTTTATCGTTTTATTGGAGTATAGTTGATATATTTCTGCATACAACTGGATGTGAGCTGGTACCACAGGTATGTCAACTGTCACTTGAGTCACCAAATGATAAGAGAAAAAAGGGGCAGAAGGCAGAACCACCTCCATTTGATTGATGAATAGGCTGAGATTTTCCCAAGACATGAGGAAATATACAATCTTATCAGAGTCCCACAAGTGCAATTTTATAAGATGGGAAGGAGATAAGCTAGTATCCCAAGAAAAATCACTTAGATCTGGGGAAATCACAGAAAGGACCAGGTAGCATTGCATCACAACCTCTCAAAAAAACAATCTCCCAGCATGAGGCTAAAAGACACAATGAAGGAACAGGGAAGGAGTCCTGAGAGTCAGATGACTCCATTATCCAGGAATGCAATGAGGGGTAACTGGCTCAACTTTTCTAAAGTGTTGACCTCCTGTTTCTTTAATTTTGCTTTTTTGTTGATTTTTAAATGTTTTATTTTTATTCAATTTGTCAGTTATTTACATGTGTCTACTTAGACTGCCAGCTGATCAGAGTAACTTGATCTTTTCAATGATTTCAGCAAGTACGGGACTCTAAAATTCAAATTTTATATTTCTGTACTATTTCAAGATTTACAATGAGTGCTTCATTGTAAGTCAGAAAAATCAACATGTTTAAAGAATTCATTTTGGTAACCTAGGTGATTCCTGATGGTATCCCTAGACGAGTTTATCATCCCTGAAACTGAAACTTATAAATAGAAGTCCAAATCATGTGAGTCAAACAAAAATGTTCAAATAAACATTAAGCATCTTTGCTCTGATGGTTTTAGAACATGTCATCTGATTCTGTGGGTACCAGGCAACACTGATCAAAGCTGGGGCACACAGTGTCCTGTCTCCACCACCAAGGGCAGTGTGCCAGGGGGGTCCCGACGAGAGGATTCCATTTGTGAAAACTCCTTACGTAGAAGCCTCCTGAGTCAAAGTGGGACCCAACTCCTACCCCTGGACACGGGGTGGGGTCGGGAGGACAGGGAGATTAAGGCATTGGTCAAGGAACAAACTAAGAAGGAAATGTGGAAAAAGAACTGAAAAACTCAGAAAGTTGGACCACATATCAGATGCTAAAAACACATGCGAAACCTTTAGTATCGCCTATAAAGGATGGCTTCGCTTGTATCTGGAATAGAAAGAAACCAAATAAAGACAAACTTGCAAGCTGGCCATAGATCTCAGGTACACAGTAGTGGAGAAGGAAGGCGGGGGGTCGAAACAGGGGAGGGAAGAGCGCAAGGGAATTGGGGCGATGGATCACAGGAGCCATGGAGGTGGGGGAACTATGGGGAAGAAACTGCATACTGTTGAGAAATTTGAAATGATTGAAGAAAATAAATTAGTTTAATTCTAAAATTTTTTTAAAAGGCAGATGAGAATCTTTCAACTGCTCCTGGTAGGATTCCACTCTTTATTGTGTTTGCTTATTTTAAGTATATGTACTTCAAAATCCTTTATAAAAAAGGGTCTTTTATTGCAGGTTGGATGTGAGCCAAGATCTTTTGACAACATTAGCCCTCCACATCTTGCCTCTGCTTCTTCAAAGCCTGTCAGGGCTCACGGGACATGGAGAATAAGAACCACAGTGGCAGTGACTCAGGCTTCATCCTCCTCGGCATCTCGTCTAACCCCCAGCTCCAGAAACCCCTCTTTGCCATCTTCCTCGTCATGTACCTGGTCACCGTAGTGGGGAATGTGCTCATCATCCTGGCCATCCGCTGTGACTCTCGCCTCCACACCCCCATGTACTTCTTCCTCAGCAACCTGTCCTTCATGGACATCTGCTTCACGACAGACATTGTGCCAAAGATGCTGGTGAATCTGCTCTCAGAGACAAAGTCCATCTCCTACGTGGGCTGTCTGGTGCAGATGTACTTCTTCATGGCCTTTGGGAACACAGACAGCTACCTCCTGGCCTCGATGGCCATAGACAGGCTGGTCGCCATCTGCAACCCCTTCCATTATGATGTGGTTATGAGCCCCCGGTGCTGCCTCCTCATGCTGTTGGGTTCTTGCACCATCTCCCACCTGCACTCCCTGCTCCGTGTGCTGCTCATGTCCCGCCTGTCTTTCTGTCGCTCCCATGTCATCAGGCACTATTTTTGTGACACCCAGCCCGTGCTGAAGCTATCCTGCTCTGACACATCCTCCAGCCAGATTGTGGTCTTGACCGAGACCCTAGCTGTCATTTCAACTCCCTTCCTTTGCATCCTCTTCTCCTACCTGCGAATCATCATCACAGTGCTCAGAATCCCCTCTGCAGCTGGGAAGTGGAAAGCCTTCTCCACCTGTGGCTCCCACCTCACTGTCGTGGCCTTGTTCTATGGGAGCATCATTTATGTCTATTTTAGGCCACTGTCCATGTACTCAGTGGTGAAGGACAGGGTGGCCACAGTGATGTACACAGTAGTCACACCCATGTTGAACCCTTTCATCTACAGCTTGAGGAACAAAGATATGAAGAGGGGCTTGAGGAAATTAAGGGACAGAATTCATTCATAGAAAGAACAAAAAGATACAGCATCATTGGACCTAATGATCACATGATCTTTCTTCCCACTCATTTCTGACATGGCGCTCAGCGAGGTCATAGAAAGTGGTGTTGAACAGCAATAAGAACAATGACACAGAGAGCTTGGAGACTTGATTTCTATTCATGACCTTGACCAAATAAATGTGCAGTCTCAAGCTAAATACTGCTAGGTACTCAGCAGGAAAAGAGCTTCTGCTAGCCGAGTAGTAAAATAAGCTATTTACAAATAACTCTTCCTTAAACTTGAAATGGGCAGTTCTCAAAGACTATAAAAATTCTATATGTGATTTGAATAAGACACTATGTCTATTGAGCAGGGAATTTAAAGACTTGGAGGAATGACTTAAGATTGTTCTTGCAATGGATGGAATTTTGACACAAGTTCAAAGCATGAAGATAAGGGCAAAGCATTCCAAATAGTGGAAACCACCCATAGGCTGGGTGAATGCTGAAAAATGAATACTGAAAAATGTTTGTGGGATAGTAAAAAGCCCTGTGAGATTTGTTCAAATTGAGAGCATGCATGATAAGGGTAGAAAGATAGCAGCATCTACAAAATGTGTGTATTCCTCCTACCTACACCAAAGTGTCATCACTCTATGAATTCTTAGTACTCCACTACTTTTCCCATCTCACCTAATGCTTCCTTTATCCTCATGGCAAGAATTTTCACTGAGATGTCCTTAATATGGAAAAGCATGTCTATCAACCAGAATAAGCTAGTTTGTACTTGGAGGGGAAGGGTGAGGGTGTGAAATAACTCAAAATCTTTGGACTTTCAAACTGAAAAAAAAATTTTATTTATATTGCATGCCCATTATAGAAAGGAACAATGGTTCTGCGCACTTACTTGGGGACCAAATCTGATGGAGAAGACACCATTATAAATATTAATCATCATTCCGTCAGAAGCTGAGAAAGACTCTTGAAGATTTGATACTGGTAAACATTCTAAAAGTGACACACAGCACTTCTGACCACAACTTATTGTCCACAGCTAATCTCATGAATCAACCCCAACAAAGGGAACCAGGAGTTAAATTCCAAAGATATACTTGTAACATGGAGAGCCAGAAGTATTTGGCAACAGCATTAATGATGATTACAAAGCTCTAATAACACACAACCCCATAAACATGAATTTGTTGTTAATCATTATTTCCGATTTTCCTAGTGTCAAAAACAAAAGTAACATGATACACACACTCTCTCTCTCTCTCTCTGGAATCCTTTTATCTCACTTCAAGTTCTTATAACCACCACTTTTCTACATTAGAAGCTTACTTAGGGTGAGATCTGGAGTTCAGTATAAGCTTTCTGACTTAAAAATATCACAAGAGGGCTCTCCCTGGTGGCACAACAGGTTAAACCACTGCATTATGAAGCTCTCTGAAGCCACTGCAGCACTAATGGCTTCCCCGCCCCAAGAGCTGACCCACGTGGCTCAGCAGACCTCTCCTGATCCGCCCATTGCTCCCCTCAGCAGTGTACTTTGCCAATATGCCTATTCTGCTCCCCACTCTGTCTCTGGTGAATCGTCTCACCCACCGCACCTCTGGCCTATATCTGAGTTCTGCAAGCATAAATAAGTAAATCTTAAAAAAATATCACAAGAGGTGTATAGGAACTTAATGTACAGGAACACCTAGGACCAACATCAAGATCCCTCCCATTGCTGTCACTGTGTTTTCTTCCAATTATAGGAGGAAACCAGCAACCCAGGAAACAAATTCCATTTGCAGTAACGCTCATATTGTCCAGGCACACCTGGCTGGTACCGTCACCTCCCACCAATCATTCTGCCTCAGGGATGCTGGCTTGGAGTACCTGCACATTTCCACTTCTGTTCATGTGCCATAACTTCCTCATGCTCAATTAAGTGCAATAAAATGCCTTAAAATGTAAAGAATGTGTGGCCTATGTTAAATAAATAAATTCATTAATTACAGCTTCCAGTAACCTTTAAAGTTAATTGACCGTGGTCCCAAGAAACCTAAACTCAGAAAAGCAGCTCAGAGATAAACCTGCACAAAAATACCCACAGTTGCTCTTTGACAAAGGAATATGGCCATGCAATGAAGGAAAGATAGTCTCTTTGATAGATGGACCAAAAAAATGAACCAGATCCGCACTTAAGTCCATGCACAAAAGTTAATGCAAATGGAACAAAATATCAATATAAAATACTTGAAAGAAAACATTGGGAACACTACTCCACCTCTATCACAAGAATGTATTCAGGAACTCAATCTTAAAGATAAGGAAACAGAAGTAAAAATAAGCAGCGGAGTACATCTAACTAACGCTTTTGTAACTCGAAAGAAATCACAAAAACAAAAAGGCAACCTGAAGGTTGGGGAAAAACATTTGCACAACGCATACCTCACAAGGGTCCAAGCTTTAGAATTTACAAAGTTCTTACATACTTCAGTAACAACAACAACAACAAAAAGAACTACCTAGTCAAAATATGGACAAAAGTCCTAAGTAGCTACTTTTCTAAAGAAGCCATTCAGATGACCTATAGACTTGTGAAAAAATGTTCAATATAACTTATTATAAAAGAAATGCAAATCAAAACCGCAATAACATATCACCTCACCTGGATAAGAAGGTCCTATGTAAAAAAAGAATGTAATCAACAAGTGTTCACAAGGTTGTGATGAAAAAGGACCTCTCATCCATCACTGGTGGGAATGTGAGCTGGTGCAGACTCTTTGGAAAATGACATAAAGATTTCTAAAGAAAATAAAAATGGAGGGCCCTCTCTGGTGGTGCAACCAGTTAGGATGCAGCACTGCAAGCTAACCACAGCCACTTCAGTGCGAGTTTGATCCCCCACCCCGGAGGTGATCCACAGGGCGCAGCAGACACCCCCCTCATTGCTCCCCTAAGCAGTGTACTTTGTCGATTTGCCTGTTCTGTTCCCGGCACTGTCTCTAGAGAATCCTCTCACCACCCCTGCACCTCTGCACCCCAGTTCTGTATGCATAAATAAGTAAATCTTAAAAAAAAAATGGAAAGCTCACATGATCTAGCAGTATCACCACCATTTATTCCAAAGTATGAAAATTCTAATATCAAAAGATTTAAGTATGCCTAAGTATAGGACTGTCAACAATTGCCAAGTCATGGAACCAAGCTAAATGCCCTTCAAAGAAAGAATGGATAACAAAATTGCGGAATATGTATTGTGTGGAATACTACACAACCATGAAAAAGATGAAAGAGTGACGTGTGGTACAAAGGACCTAGAGATGATTATGTTAAGTGAAATACATCAGAAATAGAAAGACAAATATTGGTTGGTTTCATGTATCTGTGGAATGTAAATAACAGCAAAAAAATACATGGGCAGAATACAGTAGGAACAAATCACGAGCTCTGAAGGAATTTAATGTTTATAAGAGGAAAGGTAAAAAGGGGAGGCAGAGTGGGTGTGGGCAAGGTGGAGGGTAAGTGAAAGTACACATATGAAAGAGCAAAATGTAAACCCCCAATTCAAAACAAATTAAACTTAAAAATTCCATATAATCATGTCAGGAAGATTCTGCCTTAGATGCACCAGAGACAAAAATTCCAATTCTTCTCATTCGCTTCAGTAAAAGGCTGATCTCTGAGTTTCCCACAAAAGTCTCTGTATATTTGGGGTTCACATTTGGCTGAAAATAATGGTCTTACTACAAAGGGTTAATCAATGGGGAGCTCAGTTGCTATCTCACACCTCAAGAGATCAGAAGTGACGGCTGCTGGTATTAGGTCCTCGCTGCGATGAAGTCAGGCATGGCATAAATCTCCTTACACTTTTTTTTTAATATGATAAAATATTTGGACCTAATGAAAACAGTTCAAGATTATAAAAAGAGGGAGACAGGGTGGGTAGCAAGACATGTTTACATCTTTTCACTGACCTCCTATAAAATTCCAACGATAACAAGCCACTAATTATCTGAGATTTGAAGAAACCTGTCACCCCGGAATCCTGAGTATCTTCCATCTCTAGTCTTCTCCCAAGACTTCCTCCTTAATGAGTTCCCTAAGGTGGTGGGTGGAAAGTCTCCCGTCTCCTTGGGGTGACATGTGAAGGCAATCATCTCCTTTCAGGTCCCCACTCTTCCTCATCATGTGAGTAAATCTGCAGGTGTAGCAGGTATGGTGGAAGCAAGTGTGCCCTGGATGTCTTAGGCTACACTGAGAGCTTCCTTCTTGAAGGAAAGGCAGAGAAATGTCTGAGACGACAGTCACACATACATCTCTCGGGGAGGTGTGAGCCCATCAGCCCCCACACCAAGCCGGGTCCTTACCCCCTTGCTGGAATAAGAGCTCTGGCCACCTCCCGGCCAGTGCTCCTCCCTGAACCACCAAGGCCAGTGAGGCTGAGGAGAAGATGCCTGGACTCTCCAGTGACCCTAGAAGTCACTATCCCTCTTCTGCATAAGTAGCTGTGATGTTCAGTCCCATATTATACCCAAAGCCTACACATCCTAGAGTGTTGGACACAGAGAGATCATTTAACAGGGCAAAATCTGAGCATTGCTGAATCCAGAAAGCAGGCCAAGTGCCGAAACTCCCAGCGACATCATCTCCACACTCCTGCTCCTCCTTCTTCATTTACATATCGCAAGTTGGCCTTGTAACCCGTGGGTAAGGTCTGCACGTGGGCTGATGCTGACAGGTAGAACCCGACTTCTGCTACCCCAGTCTGGACTCTGGTGAGCCCCACAGCCAGGAAAGTTCCAGATTTATGGACTCATCCTGACCTCTGGGCATCTTCAGAGCAACAGGGTTTATAAAGTGGCACCTGAGATTAGTAATGGGAAGAAAATTGCTGGGGAGGTCTGACTTGTCCTAGCACTTCTGCTAACAATAGTTTCTGCCTCTGAGTAGATCTCTCCCTTGGAACCTCAGATTCTCCCCTCATGTTGTTTTCAACTCTACCTTCATAACACTTCTTATGCAAGAAGTCAGT